TTAACATAAACTAAGAAGAAAATATTTAAAGCAACTCTGATTGATCACGTTAACCTTTGCTTATAAATAATTGTTAGTTTATTTAAAAAAAACTGAACAGTCCTTAATAATAAACTTTACTTGAACTTCAATTGAAGACCTTGCTGCAAGAAGGGAGTAGCTCCATTTATCAAGAGAAGGAGTTGTCCCCTTCTTATACCGAGATCTTTAATTGTTAATTCCAAGTCAAGTAACCAGAAACATTTTATGGACTGTTGTAAATAATCGTCCAACCTATCAAATTATAAAAAACATATGTGAAACGAAAAGAATTCGAAAACTTTCAACAAAAATCAAATTTTAATAAAAATAACAATATGTTTATGAGAATTGTGAGGTTATAATTGTAGGTACAATAGAGACTTGAAACTATAGCTAAGTTCAGGTCGGTACATCCAACATGTCTGACTTTCTGATTACCGCCACCACCACCACATACGCCCTCTAGATTATATATAAGACCTCAATGACTAAATCTGAATGTTTCTATAGTTCATTTTTTTTCTATAATACCTGTCAAATTGTTGTAAAGTTGGCAAAATTAACAAGGAATTTTGTTTTTATCATGTTTTGAAATAGATACGTCACACTGACGTTTGAGCTTTCGTTATTCCAAACGAAAAGGTGCATAAAAAATGTTGTGACTTGCCATTTATTTACCTAGAAAAGGTGTTTTGTTCTATTTAATTACTTTTTAGCACGTTTTTACAATAAATATGTACTTCGTTTAAATCGTATTTATCTACAAATTTATTAGTATTTTAACCTCAACTATTTAGTTACTGAAAATGTTACTAAAAATCAGGAAAATAACGTAAATTTTATAAGGGTCCTAGATAATACCAACAGAAACCCTAAAAAAATTACATTGACAAGTATTATAGAAAAAAAACGAACTATAGTTCTAGGTCTAATGTCATTGACAGTACTAGATAACGCTAGTTAGTACTAGATATCAGTATTTTATACAGGGTGGTTCAGTTTTTAATCGGGAAACTTTACTAGGATGTAGTACTTGCTAAAATAACACAATTTTTTTATATAAACATAGGGTCGCAACTCTTTTGTTTTCGAGCTATGAGCAATCAAAGTTGAGCCAAAAATTTACATTTTGTTTTGTATTTCGCTTGTAAATAAACCGTAGAATTTGAAACTTTGTACGTGTGTACTACTGGTTAATACCTTATTTTCTAGCATACCTTAAACTTCCTCAGCGCCCTCTAAGGGGATGAAATTCACCACCCCCTTTATTTTTTTTATATTAACTTTTTAACGCTATAGAATATTAACATTAAAAAATATGGGTTGTAAAGCTCATTCTTTACTCTTGAACCAAGAGACGAAGAGAGAAGACTAGAATTCTGTTTATGGGCTCAAGGTGAATACTTGGAAAACAGAAACTTTTTAAGGGAAATTTTGTTTAGCGATGAGACCACGTTTACAACAAATGGCGTGGTGTCATCGCAAAATTCAAGGTATTGGTGCACAGAAAATCCAGAATGGATCATCAACGCAAGGCGACAGTATTCGCATAAAATAAATGTGTGGTGCGGAATACTTGGCAACATAATTATTGGTCCATTTTTCTTTGAGGGCAATTTAAATTCAACAAAATTTTTGTATTTCTTAAGAAATGAGTTTTCGAATGCGCTAAACAATTTACCACCTCTGGTATGTGCGAATATAAAATTTCAATTAGATGGGTCTCCCGTGCATAACGCAGTAGTGGTAAAGCGTTGGTTAAATGAAAATTTTGAAAATCGATGGATAGGAAGAAATAGTCATCTTATTGAATGGCCGCCAAGATCTCCTGATTTGACACCACTCGACTTTTTTCTTTGGGGAATCCTTAAACAGAAAGTTTACAGGTCAAGGACACAGTCGCTAGATGAACTGCGTGCTAGAATAGTTCAGGCATGTGCAGACATTACCCCAGAGCAACTGAGGAATGTAACAATGAATGCACGAAGAAGGTACAATAAATGTATCGAACTTAACGGTGGATTGGTGGAAGCAACAGACATTTAACTAGTTTTTATTTTCTATTAATACCTTGAATGTTGTTTTTTTCTTCAATTTTTTGAATTTCTGTTAAATATTGTTAAATAGTTTTGTATTATTCTCTGTATTTTATTNTAGAGACGTGCGGCTAAACACAAATGTTTCTAGTTCTAGGTCTAATGTTAGTTGTACTGACAGTGGTAGGTAGCGCTGGTTAGCATAAGATATTACTATGCTGCATATTTCCATTACACTAAAACTAGAACTAACACTAGACCTAGAACTAGAAAGTTTCGGGTTTAGCCGTGCGTCTTCAGACGCACGGCTAAACCCGAATGTTTCTATTTCTAGGTCTAGTGTTAGTTCTAGTTTTGCACTAACACTATACCTAGAACTAGAATCATTTGGGTTTAGCCGCACGTATCGAAAGACGGCTAAACCCGCATGATTCTAGGTCTAGTGTTAGTTCTAGTTTTACACTTGCACTGTCACTAGAACTAACATTAGACCTAGACCTAGAAACATTCAGGTTTAGCCATCTTAAAAGATGCACGCCTAAACAGAATATTTCTAGTTCAAGTGCTAGTCTACTTTTATTTGTCATTCGAGATTGTTGTCATATCAAATTATATTGAAATTATTGCATTTTATGTAGGACAAACAAAGTACATATGTAGGTAGGTACGCGCCCTGGTTTCTATGGAAATATATTTTTATATATTGCATCTTAAGTAAAATTCACACTGTAATTATTAATAAAATTGTAGTTCCTTATAAAACACTATTGGTGTAAAAAAATAGATTTAGTTTTTATTTTCATTAATAAATAATAGATGACCCTAAACATCAAAAAAAATGTTTAAAATTATAATTTATTATGTTTATGAATAAATTGAATTAAAAAGCTTGGAAATGTTTCTTTGAAGTTAACCTTAATTTCCTTAATACTAAAACTACTACTTGATTTACTTCAAATTGAAAATACTTCTCGAAATTTGAAAATGTCTCCTTGAGTTACCCTTGACTGACCTCTAATCGACCTTGACCTACTTAAAATTGAAAATTTTTCTCGAAATTTTGAGATAGTCACCTTGAATGACCTCTAATCGACCTTGACCTACTTAAAATTGAACATTTTTCTCGAAATTTTGAGGTAGTCACCTTGAATTACCCTTGAATGACCTCTAATCGACCTTGACCTACTTAAAATTGAAAATTTGTCTCGAAATTTTGAGGTAGTCACCTTAAATTACCCTTGAATGACCTCTAATCGACCTTGACCTACTTAAAATTGAAAATCTTTCTCGAAATTTTGAGGTAGTCACCTTGAATTACCCTTGAATGACCTCTAATCGACCTTGACCTACTTAAAATTGAAAATATTTCCCGAAAATTTGAGGTTGTCTCCTTGAATTACCCTTGAATGACCTCTAATCGACCTTGACCTACTAAAAGTTCAAAATTTTCTTCGAAATTTTGAGGATGTCTCTGTTCTCAAAGTATGTATTAGGAGGTATAAGTTTAGGCGGCTTATCCGGTGACATCTATTGTTGAGTAGCTGAACTAACAATAAAGAAGGAAGAGAAATCTTTTTTCTCTTGATTAATGTCTAATCGACCTTGAGCTACTTAAAATATAGATCAGAACGAAATTTAAATGACTAAAAAGCTACCCCCGTTTAAATAAAAAATCGTTTTGTCAAAAAGGTAATAAATAAAAACGCAGATTTAAAATTAAATAGATTTTTTTTTATTAAACAAATAGATATCTACTATTTATTTGGATTATGATGCCAATGGAATGCTGGAGGAAGGCGCTTTAAGGTTGGATCTCATAGAATTAGTAAAAACAAAGGAGAAAAATAACAATTTCAAATTGGTACAAAGGAAGCCAAAATATTGAGGAACATTAAAACTAAGTGATAGTCACAATGTTACAAAAACTTAATTACAAAAAGATATACAGTGCCACACTTAATTATTGGCACAGCAATCGTTTTTCGTTTTATGGCTGTTTTTAAACCAAATTAACAAATGCTATTAGGTGAAAGTATTTATCCTATATTGTTTAATTGATTAATAGTATATTATTCAACAAGCGTATAATGGCGGCTGTTACCCACGAAGAAGAAGTTGCAACACGAGCGAGTGTTGTAATCTGAGTGGGTAACATCCATTATACGCAAGTTGANTTAGTATTTTAACCTCAACTATTTAGTTACTGAAAATGTTACTAAAAATCAGGAAAATAACGTAAATTTTATAAGGGTCCTAGATAATACCAACAGAAACCCTAAAAAAATTACATTGACAAGTATTATAGAAAAAAAACGAACTATAGTTCTAGGCCTAATGTCATTGACAGTACTAGATAACGCTAGTTAGTACTAGATATCAGTATTTTATACAGGGTGGTTCAGTTTTTAATCGGGAAACTTTACTAGGATGTAGTACTTGCTAAAATAACACAATTTTTTTTATATAAACATAGGGTCGCAACTCTTTTGTTTTCGAGCTATGAGCAATCAAAGTTGAGCCAAAAATTTACATTTTGTTTTGTATTTCGCTTGTAAATATAAACCGTAGAATTTCTCTAAGGGGATAAAATTCACCACCCCCTTGATTTTTTTTATAATAACTTTTTAACGCTATAGAATATTAACATTAAAAAATATGGGTTGTAAAGCTCATTCTTTAATGGTACTTTTTTCTCTCTTTAGTATTTTCCTTAAAGTTAATAGTTTCCATGTAAAAAATAAAATATTGTGCTATGTACTGCTATATGTCGCCATGTTTATCTAAAAGTATTCTAAAAGTTGCCTCATAATTGTTGATGATAATTAATAATTTTTGACTGTTATTAAGCAACAGTATCAATTTTTTAATATTGTTTAAAACAACGTAATTTGTTCAGACAGGCATTAATCTTATTTATGGTTTTTCTTATGAAAATCACAATTAATTGGTGTTATTTAATTAGTACTAGATCCTAGTAAGTGCACAACTTCCATAGCCAGCTATAAAGA